AAATACTTTTAAAAATTAAATTCGATAATTTTTCGTGCCAAGCATGTTACAACGAACATATTTTCTAGAGAAATATTTAAAAAAATGTTATATATAAAAAATGTTCTATATAGTTTCTAGTATAAAAAAACAAAACAAAAAAAATTCTTGAAAACTTATTTTAAAACATTTCAAAAAGTAGAAAAACGATAGTTTATTCCAACCGATTTAAAATGAAAAAGATTTTAGTTGGATCTGAAAATTGCCTAAATTCCCTTATAAGATGGATTTTTTTTCCGAATCGACCTTCCAAATATTTTCACGGTTCGGGCCCAATTTTTATCAATACATAAGGTTCCCGTTAAGTCGGACTCTCAAGGGCAATAGATAATTAGTCAGACTTAGCGAAAGTCCAAGTTAAGCTAAGTTTTGGGTATGTATAGCGAGTTCAAGAGGTATTGAAAATCTGTCCGACTTTGCAAAAGTCCGGCTTATATCTGAGTTAACGGGATTCTACTGTAATTTGTACATTTTATTTAGTTTAATAAATGAGTCTCCATTAATTTTTCTAAAATGACCAATTTATTTATCGTATTAAATTTTTCTATATATTTTGTAGCTGAAAAAATTCTTTTAACATGCTATTTGCTTGTTTTTTACATCCCACATATTAACCTTATTATAAACAGGTTTAAGTCAAAGAATCTTTTCTGTCAGATAAAAATATCATAAAATTAGTCTCAAAAAAACTAAAAAAAGTCAATACCAAGGGTAAAGATTCATAAGTGTTTATAATTTAACAAAGTATTTCAAAGATACCTTGACCAAGTTCGAGAACATAGTACAATAATTTAATATTTAAACATAATTAATACTGTTTATGTCAAAAATAAAATATAACGCTTGTTGGTCTATTTAGTACGAGGATTTGTTTACTACTAAGAAGTGTATTTAATGAACCACTGAAAAATTTATCGCATTTTTATTCAATGTTCTTTTTTTTTTTTTTTTTCTTTTAGATTCATTAAACACCCACTACAAGTAAGGTAAATTAAGAGTTTCCTACAAGATATTACATATATTAATAAGCTTTTGTAGACCAGAGAGGGTGAAGCTAAGGAGTATAATGTCATCAGCATATGCTACAACACCCGTATAGTTTCCATTGATTGATGTACCTACGACGCTTTCATTTTGTAAGGTTTCTAGTAGGTTTTGAGTATAAATGTTATATAAATGAGGCGAGAGAATAGATCCCTGTCTCACTCCTTACGTTAGATAGAAAGGATATGATTTGCAATCTAGATAAGAAACAGAAGCACTGCTTTCATAGTATAATGACGATATGGTATTAACAATATACAGAGGGAGTTTTTTATCATTGTATAGTCTCTCAAACAGAATGTCCCAATTGCGGCAGTCAAACGCTTTTTCAGCATCTAGGGAACAGAGATAGACAGGTGAGTTGTTGTTGTTGTAGTGATTAATTGTTTCACTAATAACAAATTCAGCGTGTAGGGTTGGGCTGTTTTTAGTGAAACCGAATCGAAGAGAATGAGTTTCTTTTATTTCTGGACAGATTAGTAGGATAAGATATTCTATTAGTTTCGTAAAGATTGGAATGATGCTAATGCCGCGTTAGTTATTTGGATCAGTTAAGGATTTTTTATACGATTTAGTAAGTGGTATTATAAGTGATGTAGACATGGATTTTGGGGTCTGTCCATGATTAATAGAAAAGTTCAAAAATTTTCTGAGCCATTCTGTTAGCGCTTCACAGCTCGCATTCTTTAAATGTTCAGCTGATATTCCGAAGGCGTTTTTGAATTTGTTTAATTTAAGGCGCGAAATAACCGTTTTTATATTTTCATCTAATATTATTACCTCGTCGAATTTTGTGCAAGGTGGAATTTTTAAATTTGTAGAGGTATATGTGATTGCTTTAGAGTTTAATCGATTTTCAAAACTGTAGGCAAATTCTTTCGTGATCGAGTCTTTATCTTTTTTATTATTTATGATATACAATTTCGAATTTGCCTCTTTTTTTATATTTCTGAAAGTTTTCCAAAAATATTTTGGATTTGTATTTTTTAACGTTTTGATTTTTATGTATTCTTTGTACAGGTTTTTATTTTGAGCATTTTTTACAGCATTGCGGAAATTTTTTTGTGCCATCCGGTATTGAATAAAATTTGCGAGTTTAAGTTTTTAACGAACCCAGTTTCCAGCCATTTTTTAAAATAAAATGAAAGAACATTTTGAGTACGGCTTAATTCGGATGTCCACCAGGATTTTGAATACAATGACGGTGTTTTCACGGATAAATATTGATTAAGTGCCTCAGATGCCGACTTTGTAATAACAGTATATACTTTGATAAGTTCCTCATTGTAATTATCATTCGTAAAATTGTGAAAATTAAAATTAGTATTTAAGCGATTGTTATATAATTGTAAAAAACCATTGTTATTCCAGGCATAATTTGGAATGCTGTACTTGTCTGAGTTTTTATGATTGTTTCCTTGAGAAGAATGTCCAATAATTCCAACTTCAATCGATACTGGTAAATGATCACTCATGTTTTGAGATAAAAAAGGAATTACGAAACAATTGGAATAAAGAAGAGACGTATACTTTGAGAAAGCTATGTGATCTATGTAAGATGCGTTTGGTAATGTTTTATGGTGATACGTTATGTTAGGTCCAGAGCCTTTAGTTACGTCCACTAATTCAAGTTTAATCCTCGAGTGATGTTTGATTATTGCGCGACGATGAAAGATAAATGCCAATAATAACAATATTAGTCTGATTTTTTTTAATATTTCTTGCGAAGATATGATTATCTTCATATAGAATAATAATGTTTTGAAACAAATGTTTCCGAATAAAAAAAGCGTTTCCGCCAAACGGTCGACCCTGCTCATGTTTGTTAGCCTGGTGGAAGAATGAAGAGTGGGTATTTTTATAGATATTTTTAATAATGAAATATTCTGAATTCGAGAGAGAATCAACGATTTGATATACTCAAAATTAGACTTTAGACCGTGGCAGTTGAAAGTACATAGATTAAATGTTGTTGGAAGTTTATCTTCCTTAAAAATATTCCCTAAATCCATTTTGATCTATGAAAATCTTCCTGGTTTCCGTTAGTTTCCAAATTTTGAGATATGTTAGTATATAAATGTTTTTTTCGGTATGGTTTAATTATTATAATGTTATCCCATAAAGTAGGGTTAAATATTATATTTTTTTATGTGTTATTTACGGTAACTTTGTATGATCTATTGTATTTATTTTCTTTATTCAATATAACAGGTAAGGGGGAGATTCCTATTTCTGTTTCTAGATAGTTTTTAAAAAGTTCTTCATTGATTTGATTGCATACCCCTCCGACAAAAATGTCAAATTTACGAACTATTCTTTCACCTGCAATTGTTTTATTTTCAGAAATTTTTGTTCCGAACACGGGCTCTGAAATTCTATGTTTTTTTACTAATGAACGATTTTTTGTTTTGTGATTAGATTTATTATTTCCGCACACTAAAGTAAAATTATTTTCATCATTATTGGTGTTTGATGCGTGCAGTTGTTGGTCGTTATTGGTTTATTTATTTATTTTTCTGGTCAACATGGCGTCGATTTGTGGTTGATTTGTGTTTGAGTGAGTTTGAGCTTCTACATTTGCGAATGTTTTTAATAATTGCGGTTTGTATTCAACGTTTAAAAAAGACTTATGCGTTGTTTGAGTTAGATTTTTTGTAGCAGCTGGGTTGTTAATTTTATTTTCACATTGCGTATAACCATCGATCTTTAATTTCGGTATTTGACACGGATATAAGAGACTTATATCCAGTTCCGATTGTCTCTTTTCTATCTTAAGTTTTTCAATAAGTTTATTTTGAAAAGTTATTTTCTTTCAAAAGTATAAGTTCTTATTTTATTCCTTTATTTTCTTTTTGAATTTCCTTTGAGATATGTAACAACTTCTTTACAGATTTAGTTAAAAATTTATCGTTGGGCAGTGTGTCCACATTTTTTGTTGAGATAATTATCTTAACAATTTCTTTATGAAGTTGTTTTTCACATAATGTGATTGAAAGTATATAAATATCTTCTAAACATAAACTTATATTGTATCTTTTACGAAGATTCTTTTCACCAGGATTTGTAAGGTATAGAGTTATGTTCGCCTCACTAAATTCATCTGCACAAAATGTCTCAACGATTTCAGCAAATAGTCGTTCTCGAAGGTTTCGAATTGTGTTTTCTGAGTTTGAGTTCATGCTTGCGATAACTAAGTCTTTCGTATGAGAACAAATTTCCTCAATATTTTTCAAAAAATTTTCTTCAAATGTATAAATGTCACACTTTAAATAGATAAACATCTCCTCGATTGAACGTGTTGTCATATTGTTTTTATTGACAAATTCTTTTTCAATTTCAAGTTTTATAAATAAAGAACCATATTATATATATATAAAAAAAACTTTATTTATTATCAGTTATTTTTTCTCTTGCTATTGCTTGTATTGTTATGTTGCTTAACTTTTTACAGCTATCAAGGAGATTTACTTCTAACATTATTGTTGCCTTTAAAGTAATATATCCGTCATAATTATGTATTTATAAAAAAATAAAACTTTGTGTCCCATTAAGTACAAGTCAACTTTATGACTTGATTTGATCTCCTCAATACTAGTACAACGTTTATATATGCGTTATTGATTTGCAAACAGTTTAACTTTTCAAACGAGAAAATATTTGTAAATGTATTATATAATTGCATTTATATATATATATATATATATATATATATATATATATATATATATATATATATATATATATATATATATATATATATATATATATATATATATATATATATATATATATATATATATATATATGTATATATATATATATATATGTATATATATATAGAGATATAGATATATATATATATATATATATAGATATATGTAATAATAATAATAAATTTATATCTACATATTCAATAGCTGTAGATATTCGAGTTGGTTCAGTTCTCGGTCGTCACTCAGTTACTAGAGAACTTTACGCAATTCATCGGAATCGAAAAACGTACTTAATGTTTCATAATTATTTCCACAAATGGCTTGTTATTACGACTCAACAGTTTATGGAAATGGCTTTCAGTTATCTTGATCCTTCTTTGCATAAAAGTTTGGAAGGTGATTTTGATCAAATATATACTTTTGGAAAAAATCAATGGTTTGCTGTTTATTTCTAGTGCTCTTCAAAATACCTTAGAGTCAATATTTTCTATATGCCGGATCATAAAAATTAAGTTGCTTTGGGAATTTGGGAAAAGTGGCATGATGTAGCATTATTTACTATTAGCAAAGAAAAACTTGAATGAAATTTGATTATACTTTGCGTTTTTAAGTTTTTAGGTATATGCACATTATTGCGTAATTATTTAATTGTATAAGTATAAAAAATGTTTACTGATTTCCAATATACACATACTTTTGCCTATATTGTGGGACTAATATTTAGTTTATGTGTATTTTGCATACTAACGACCAGCAGATATGTCTGCAAGCCAAACACATAGTGTACGAAAAACTCAAACTATATACTAAATGTTTAATGGGCCCTGACCGTACGCCATTTCGCTGATGCAACATTGCTAACCACAGGTAAATAATCAAACAACCAATTAGCGGTTAGATCAATGAAGAATCGACAAAGGACGGTACGAATATGCAGGCCACAAAACACATACAAGCGACCGTCACGTAACTATCACGTGAACAACGAACACTCACGACAGTAAGATTAAGTCAATTATATACATTATTTTTTATGAATGTTCGGTGTTTAAACTTTAAACTATTAGTTTACGCAAATTGCATGACTACTTGTAGTTTTATATTTAATTGTAATTTTTTGTCTGCTTTTTGCATTTACAGAAATTAATTCAAGTTCTAATCTGCTTTAAAAACTATGAAACAATTGTAATGTTATCAAGATCTGCAACTGTAAAAAACTATCATATATTTTTTGGTGAAGCTCACGAGTTACCAAACGTTTACTTGCCAACGCACAAACAGGTTTGCAAAGCATACTTGTTTGAAAAGAGTTATGAAACTGAGCCACTACGAACTGTCTGTAAAAGACTGGCGGATAAACTCTTGCAAGTATGGATTAAAGCATCAATTCCTACAATAACTCTTCGAGGGATAGAAATCCAGTTGGAAAAGTGTATAGGTGAAGTTCAGAAAGTGACGCAATCATAATCTGCAACACTCAAAAGAGAAGAAATAGAAACTAACCTTAATAAACTGTTTGATATTTATTCATGTAATTGCAAAGAGTTTTCATCCTGCTGCTGCCCTCTTAATTAGAAGGTAGAAGCAATTGAGCATAATTTTCTTACAGATCAGCACACTGCACGTATTGGTCGAATAGCTGGTGTTAATAAAAAGGAATCATCAATTGCGTCTAAAAAAGAAATCAGTGTTAAGATCAAAAGAAGAAATCAGTAACAAATTTGTCAGAGCAGCTTAAGCATCAAATTCATATAATGGTACAGTTCAAACAACTAGTGATTCTGACACTGAAACTTATTTCCCTGGTGCATCAGATGATACATCAGATGAAATACCCAAAACTTGTCGTCTTAAAAAACATTACCTTAGAAATATTGCTTTATAAGTAGACGGGTTTAGCATTTCAGGTCGTGCAGTTGCTGCATTAGTATCAGCAACTCTTGTTGATTTCAGCTCAGAACATATGGGACTAGTTGATAGCAATTAAATTTGGAGTAAAAGAAAACTTCAGAATATAAAAATACTGATTGCAAGATTTCTGGGTTGTATTTTGAAAGTACAACCCAGAAATCTACAGAATTTAGACAGAAAAGATCAGACTTTAAAACTTGTTGTTGATCGGCAGACTGTAGTTTCCTACATTTCTTCATTATCAAAGCCAGGATCAAGAGACATTGGCTATTTTTCTCCAGTTGGTGGTACAGCTAAATCCATTGCAGAATCAATTCTTGATATAGTAGACTGTACTAATCTTGTTTGTATTGGTTCAGAGTCAACAAACATTAACACTGGTTTGAATAATGGAGTTATACGCAGAATGGAAACTGAGCTCTGAACTTTATGCGATCAACTTGGTCGTCCACTTCACTGTCCCATTTGTCTCCTCACATCTGAGTGACCATCCATTTTAAATCTGAGTGAGCTTCCATTGCAACATCTGTTTAGTTTCTTATATGGTGCAACAACTGGACTACATTCATTAAATGGACCTAGTGGCAAATCTATTTCTAAGCTATTGCAGCCACCCATAGTCAACGTTGCTGTTGTTGCTGGTGAACCTATTAGTTGTGATAAAGATTTATTAGGCAGTGATTAGTTGTACTTTTTTAAAATTATTAATGCAGTGAAGATAGGGATTGCATCACAAGGATTTGAATCCAGATTACCTGGGCGGCTAAACCATGCAAGGCGATTGACACTTGTAAATCGTGTTTTGCGCCTATTTATATCTACTGTAGCTCCATCAAATTAACTTACACTTTTGACTAAATTTGTCGTAGATTCTAATACAGTTGTATGTTTTGACATAAAAAAATATTTTAACTGTTGGAATGCCGCACCACACTATAACAAAATGATAGAAACATCACGATTTCTTCCTGTGCGGTACAGAATTGTGGTTTAGCTAGGTTTGAAGCACAATAGCTATCTAGCTCATATTTAGAGCATTAATCTTTCTATATTGAAAGACAACCATCAAATAATTCTAAGACTTGCTCTGAAAAAAATTACACATGCACGGGAAGATGACATACCGAATCGTAAAGTCTAAATACCTGAAATTAGACTTTAAGCAACAAGCTATGAAGAGCTAATTGATTGAAAAACTCTTCCTTGCTTGGAACCCGTTTTGACAAAACACATTTCTACCGCACAAATATTGTCCTCGCTTTAGTCAGATGAAGATATTGCTGTTGATTTAGAACCATTTCCATGCCACAATTTGTTGAACGTTTAATTAAAATTGTCACTGAATCTGCATGTAAGGTTTATAGTCATGATATCCGTAATAGCTATACTCGCGTTATTTTAGAGCGCCGAAAATTGATGCCGCATTTTCATACTAAACCTGAATTTAAACAGATTTATCAAAAAAATTATAACTGTTGTTAATTGATAATATAAAAACTATGCATTATTAATATATATATATATATATATATATATATATATATATATATATATATATATATATATATATATATATATATATATATATATATATATATATATATATATGTATATTTATATATATATATATATATATATATATATTTATATATATATATATTTATATATATATATATATATATATATATATATATATATATATATATATATATATATATATATATATATATATATATATATATATATATATATATATATATAATTAAGTAGAAATGTTAATTTTAATTTCATTTTATTCAAAGTTTTAATCTCGTTTCAAAATTAGTTTATCCATTTTTATAGCACCTATGGTTATCAAGAAAATTGCATTTTAATACTACCTAATTTGACATTTTTTTAGACAAAAGTGCGCTTTTTCTTTTCATTTTTTTTTTAACATTTTTTTTTTACTATCAAAGCTGCGTAAAATTTTAAGCAACAACTCAAGGCAATAATTTATTTGTTATCATGAAACAATATACAAAGAAAATAACTTTCAGTACACAACAAAACTTTAATACATCAGAAAAAATATATATACATTAATTTAGTCATAGACACATTACACATTAATACAGTCATAGCTCTATTACAACATTAAATTGTGAAAAATTAAAACACAAGGTTGCCCAGTTTTAAATTTTCTTGAATATTATGAGTACGATATTATATATATATATATATATATATATATATATATATATATATATATATATATATATATATATATATATATATATATATATATATATATATATATATATATATATATATATATATATATATATATATATATATATATATATATATATATATATATACAAATCGTCAGGGTTATATATATATATATATATATATATATATATATATATATATATATATATATATATATATATATATATATATATATATATATATATATATATATATATATATATATATATATATATATATATATATATATATATATATATATATATATATATATACAAATCGTTTTATATTAATTTATAATATTTGTAAGATCGTACCCATAATATATATATATATATATATATATATATATATATATATATATATATATATATATATATATATATATATATATATATATATATATATATATATATATATATATATATATATATATATATATATATATATATATACATATATATATATATATATATATATATATATATATATATATATATATATATATATATATATATAATAAATATTATAGATTAATATATAAGACTAATTTATAATAATATATTTATACTATAATTTATAATATATTTAATATATTTCCAACATAATGTTACTAATAATATATATAAAAACTATATATGAAACGTTATAATAACTATAAACGATATTGATTTAATATTATAGATTATTATACACTAATTATTTATGATAATATTATGTAATTTACAATATATATTTAATATAATATATATAATAACTATTTATGATACATTATAATAACTATAAACAATTTAGATATTATAAATATGTAATTTATAATATATTTCTACTATAATAATACAAATAATATATATAATAACTATATACGATACGTTATAATAACTATAAACAATGTAGATAATATAAATATTATGGATCAATATATACAAGTATATTATAATAATATTATACAATTTATATATTTCTACTATAATAATACAAATAATATATATAATAACTATACACAATGTTTTATAATAACTATAAACAGTATAGATATAAATGTTTTAGATTATTATATACGACTAATTTATTATAACAATATATAATATCTAATGTATTTATAATATAATATTACTAATAACATATGTAACTAGTTTTTACTTCAAATAAATTGTAAATTAGGTGTTTCACAGAACTATAACCTTTCCTTTTTCAAGGTCAACAAGCAATGGAAAAGTCCATACTTAATTTTCTCTAGTCTCATAGACCATATCATACAAAGTTTTTTTTAA